GTCGGGGGCAAGCATCGTTCTCTCACCTGGCAATGGCAGCTCATTCGATGCCGAGAGGTAGCACCATCATCAACTGGCATTCAGCGGGGTCCGCCTCAGCCGCAGGAGATTTGCCAATCGGGGAGTGGAGCGAGCTCGACGCCACGATGAGGGGGCCTGGACGATCGCTGGAAGCGGCTGGACCGCAGCGGGTCGCCGCGGGCCCCTTCCAGGAGGAGTCGGGGCAGCAGCGGCGGGGGGTCTCCGTTCCGGACGCCCCCGCGCTCGGATCGACGTCCGTCACGTGAGAGGGACGACGGGCAGGGCCGCGAGTCCGATGCCGACGACCTAAGTCAGGGGGAGGCCATGCTCAGCGTCTACCTCGAGGCCAGAGGCAGCGGGTCCGATGAAGCCGACGCTCTGCAATGCGTCGCCTCGGGCTTCGACGAGGAGACCAGTGCCGTGGTTGAGCGGCTCGCCCACTACGCGGATCACCTAGCCAACTTTACCGAGGCGGAGGACGACGAGCGCGTGTACTCCATGCACGCGGACCGCTGGAGGAGCCAGCTGGCCCAAATGCGCATCACTGGGGCCCGGCAGGCTGGAGCAACCCCTCCTCGACCGGCCGTGGCGGGGCTGCTGCAGCTCGAGGCGCAGCCGCCAGCTCTGAAGGCCGCCGACGCAGCAGCTGCTGACACGACTCCGTTGGCAGACACACCCTCCCCGAGTGTGCAGACACCGCCGGCGGATGGACCGCCTGGCCTCGTCTCACCCACGGGTCTGAGGGTCTGAGGTTCGGTGTGACAAGCTCCGTCCCAGGCGGACTTCCGAGAGTCGCGGGTGCCACCAGCCTCTTTGTCAATCAAGGCAGCTCTGCGGACGCGGGCCTGGTCCAGATCCCAGGACAGCCACGCCGACAGGGAGCCGTGGGTGCCGCCGGCGAGGCCACAGCTATGCAGGCGCATGCCCAGGCGCTGCAGGCAGGCCAGGCGCAGCAGCACCAGGACCACAAGCAGCTCCTGCATGCGATCCAAGAGGGGCTCATTCAGAGGGACGACGGCAAGGTCGCGCAGCTGGGCACACTGGCAGCCATCAAGAAGGCTGAGGAGTTGGACGTGTTCCTGGCGCGGGGGTGCGACACCGCGGAGGTCGAGATCTGCAAGGGGCTCCTCGGACACGACCTTTTCCACGGTCTCCGTCGAGCCTGTGAGGGCAGCAAGCATCTAATGCTGGCCGTAGGGTGCCCGACGACCGTGACGGACAGGATGGCATATGGCGCGGCGACCCTCTCCTGGGGATGCAAGGACCACCTTGAGCTGCCCAACTGGAGCTTGTCCGTGGCCGGCTTCCCAGTATGTCGGGGTGAGGACTTCGATGACTACGCGATGCCAGCAGAAGTCGAATTGGAGCCGCGACCGAGGCACCCCGTTGTGTTCAGCCAATGGCACCGACAGGCCCATAACGCCATCAAGTTTTGGTGCCTCGTCTACGGACGCCAACACGGATCCGAGAGGTACGCCGCGCTCGAGAGCCTGAGGAAGTCACACGAGCACCGCGAGGACGAGTACCCTTCGAAGTATGCTTACGGGCTGCGGGAGGAGTTCAACGCGGCTTGGTGCGAGCAGCTACGGGAGAAGCGCTGGGCGTAGTGTCTTCTCCTTCTCAGCACTCAGCACCCCAGGAGGGAGGGCCTGAAGCTATGCGCGCTGGCCCCCGCGGGCCCTGGCGGCCAGGCAGCCTTCAGCGCGTGCTGTCGCTGCGCGTCTCGCGGTGCAGGCATCGGGGGGTCGAAGTGTAGAGTGGCGCGGGAGTGGGTGTGGTATTGGAGACCCGGCCTTGCGCATGGCGCGTGCGATGGTAGGCCTTGGGCTCGCGCGCCATTTTGGTTCTGTTTGCCGAACTGACGCGGGTTCGGGAATGGGGGCCGCGCGGCTGGAGCAGTGGAATTTCGAGGTGGTATAAGAGTATCTGAGGGCGCGCCCCGTGTGGGTTCGCGTGTTCTCTGCGGAGTCCATGGTGGCATTCGAATTGCAAGTGGGGCGCCGCGTGGCCTGGGTGCTCGGCGACGGAGATGAGCTTTGCGCGGGGTCGCTGGCGCGGCTCGACAGCGGCCGCGCCTGCTTTGCGCAGGGGGATGCTCGTGTTGATGTTGAGGGATGGGGAGTGGAGGAGACTGCTCCGTGGTGCCGCGTCGCCGCGCGCGGCAAGCAGCGGTCTCGCTCCAGGTCGCCGCAAGCAGCAGCGCCCCGCGGCAGGGCGCCGAAGCGGCGGGCGGCGTCGCGGGGTGGCCAGGAAGCTCGTGGCAGCAGTGGGGGCGCGCGCGGCGGCGTGGACGCGGATCAGCTGGCGCGTGTGAGTTATTCTGAAATGGAAGCGCTGGCCGCGCGATTGCGAATCGATGGGGGCGCTGCCGTGCCCTCGTCGCGTCGCCAGGAAGGCGGGGAGCGAGTGCGGATGGGCCCGGAGGCGCACCGGAGCGCGCTCGCGACGCACCTGGGCACCGACGAGGGCGGCGTAGGCAAATTCTGGCGCGGCGGCGCGATCGCGGGCTCACGCGGGAGATGTGCTGGGCGCCCTGGAGAGCCATGCGGCAGAGCACGGCCGTCTTCCAGAGCAGGGGGTCCGCGCTGGGGATGTGGGTGAGTTGTTTATGTGATCTCGGTCCAGGATCAGCTGACGCCCCAGTGGCGCGCGCGTTTCGACGCGCTCGTGGACCGCCGGGAGGAGCGGAACGCAAGTGCTCGCGCGATGCTGGACTGCATCGAAGAGCACGTGGAGTTGCTTGACGAGCTGCCGAAGCGGGGTGTGGAGGACGAGGACAAGGCGGAGCTGGCGAAGTGGATCGACAATGTGAGCACTGGCCAGAACTTGCTCGGCGAGGAGAACCGTGCGCGGTGGGGGGCGCTGGTGGACAGGCGCGCGTGGCGGCGGCGCACGGCGCAGGAGCACGTGCTCGAGGTGCAGGCGTTCATGGAGAAGCACGGGTGCGCGCCGCAGCGCTTCTCTCCGGACGAGAGCCCGCGGGGGCGGCAGCTAGCGAGGTGGGTGGGCACTGTGCGCGATCGCAGTTTCCAGGGCTTGGAAGTCTGCTGGCGCGCGGAGCTTGAAGGTCGCGCTGGACTTTGAGCACCGCCGGCTAAAAGCGGTGGAGGCATGGTGCGAGGATCACAAGAGGTGGCCGCCCGAGAAGGCCGAGGGCGACGTTGAGCGCAAGCTGGCCAACTTCGCGCTGGGGCGCACTGGGACCTGGACGAGCAGCGATTGCTTGCCGCGCTCGAGAAGGATGCCGCGACCGCAGAGAAGCACTGGGAAGTTCTGACCCGTCCTCGCGAGTTCCGATGCGATTGGCTCGACGCGTTGGCCGGTCGGCGCAACCTGGCCCGCGACGAAGATTTCCGGGAAGCGCAACTGGCGCAGAGGTTTGCAGGGGTTGCCTAGAAGTGCGCGCAGGACTTTTGCGCGCGTGGACAGGCGAGAGTGCAGGGACTGGTTGTGGCTGGCGGGTTACGGGGGTGACATGGCGGGAGGGGGGGCGCCGGCGACGACCCCCCTGCGGGCGGCGGCGGCGGCGGCGGCGGCGGGCCTTCTTCGGGCAGCGGTGCGGGCGGTGGACCAGCGTCGGGGGGGGTCGGGCCCGGGGTTGCGACTCCGCACCAGTGGTGGCGGGGGCGAGGGCGCGGGCGAGGGCGCGGGCGAGGGCGCGTGCGGGGGCGGGGGGCGCCTGCTCGGTGGCGGGCCAAGGAGGCCAGCTCCGAAAGGGAGGGTTCCGCAGACTCGCAGGGCGTCGCGGGAGCAGGAGAGGCGGGTCTCGCGGGAAGGTTCGTGATGGCGGGGAACGTGCGGGTGAACGTGGCGCTGGATGACGTCCATGCCTGCCGTTCTGGCTCCTGGGCCCCGCGCCGCGCGCCGCGGAGAGGTGCGCCGCGCGCGCCTTGCGCCAGCACCTGGACCTGCACGTGCTCGGGCAGTGCTGGAGCCGGTGCAAAGGCTAAGGAGAGGAGCGTCCAGTCGGGAGGTAGGACCCCGAGAATCAAATCGTTTGTGTCTGCGGATATCCAAACTTCCTGCGCGTGGTTCCGAAACTCAGATTTCTCTATCAACGTTTGCGGTCGATGCCCTTCTCGTCTTTTTCGCCGAACAGGCTGAACCCGAATATGTCGATGTCGGTAGGTCTGAACGCGACGGGGTTTCCTGCCCTGCCATGTTCGAGCGCCGCTGTCGCTGAGTTATATTGTTCGTGACCGCTTGTAATGCTTGGGCGCTCTTCATGACCTGCCGAACGTTTTGTGTTGAGCTGTGCGACCGTTTTTATATGCACGTTGTCGCAGACAACAAACAACGTGCAGCTTCCGTACACTTGATAACTTGAAGGCGTGAGCCCGACACACCTCTAAGGAAGGGCTGTTCGGACTGAGGGTCAGAAGCTACCATGCAGTCGTTATTCCGTGACGTTTGCAGAGGGTCAGCAGATGTTGTCATTGCTGATGTGCCAGATTGCTCCGCGCATTTGTGTGCCGCCATTTGGAGACTTGCGTTGCGATACAAGAAGCTGCTGCGATGCTGAAGCCTGTTTTTCTTTGCCTGCTTGCCCCCCAAAGGGGGGCTCGTGGATTCACACGTTCTCATCATTCTATTGAGCAGACTTGATCCCTCCATCTCATATAATCAGTTGCCGATCCAAGTTGCCTTCCGCGTGACTTTGGCATGACGGGGATTATTATTAAGGTCATTGCTCATGTAAATCTAGTTTCTTTTGCATTTGATGAGTTTTCTTGCGACTCTGACAGTGCATATTTCGTCTGGTTTCGTGTAGATTGTTAAGGTGGCTGTAATTGAAATCTCGGACCCCGAATCGGGGCTGGTACGTCTGGCGTCCCAACAGAAGTTCATTCGCATATTGGCTGGATTTCGTGATGCAAGGGCCCACGGCACACTTCAATGTTTTGGGAGTGCATGTGTGGCCCGTGGTATCGAATAGCACCACTGCGTGCCTTGGATTCGCGCTGTTGCATTTTTGTCCAAAGCATTTCAGATTTTTCAAATATGGTTGTTGATGTTATCTGATGTTCGTTCTCGTTACCCGCAGCACGTACTGCTTAGTCCGGTCTGCGGGGAGGCTCTCGCAGTGCAGGGGGGTGCAAGCATATGTTATAAGCCGTTGGGGTGGATGAGCGTCGTGAGTATGCTGAGTTTAGCAATGCGGTTTTGCAGTGCAGGCGAATGTTCCAAAGTGGGCGCAATAGTCACGAGGAGCGGACACGAACATGTCTACCATCCCAGTTTTTCGCCGTTGGTGCGGAGATGTGCTGTTGCGCTTCCGAGGCGAATCACGCTGGGAACGGCATTCGCTTCCCCCGTGATTCCTTTGTTGATTTTTTTATCGGTGGTGGTGGGTCTTAATGTTTGCACAGTGGGGCGCAGACGCTCAGGGGCACTGGTGGTAGTAGTTGGTGTTGTAGCAGCAGTAATTCTGATCGTTCTTGTGCGCGTGATCATGTCCAGTCTGGTGAGTGTAAGCACACTGGCAGCAGCAATGTAGTATCAGTAGTGTCCAACTGCCTGCGGGAAGCCTCGCCACCGTGCCAGCACAGCATTCTGAATTGCGACTGGTCGCGGAGCGCACAGGACGCCGTAACGTGTGACACCTCATGCCGCATGCCCAAATTCTCAGGACAGCCGTAATCTGTGACACGCTCTTTCGCTTGGGCTCGGTGTGCTTCGCCTCGTCCTCGGCGTCGGCCCCGTCCAGTCCCCATTCTCCTTTACCTCTCCTGTTCATCCTGCCGCACCCCCACCTCGTTTCTCTTTTCTCCTCCTGTCCCATCCTCCGTGTGGCAACGTTTGGAGTCATGCCTGGAGGTCTTTCACATATCATACCTCGGCTGTCCTGCGGCTGGCTTGGATTACCCTGGTGGAGCCGTCCTAGCGAGGCGTGAGACGATGATACATACGATTCTGACGATGCTGATGCTGATGCTGATGCAGATGATGACGATGCTGATGATGATGACGACGACGACGATGCTGATGATGATGATGATGATGATGATGATGATGATGGCGATACTGATGATGATGATGGTGACGATGATGGTGGTGTTGATCATGCTGAGGATGGGGACGACGACGACGTCGACGAGGTTGACGAGGATTGTGACGATGCTGATTATGATACTGATGATCCTGATGATGATGGCGATGATGATGACGACTACGATACTGTCGATGACGATGATGATGCTGATGCTGATGATGATGATGATGCTGATGCTGCTGATGATGCTGACGATGATGATGCTGATGTTGATGATGACGATGCATATGATACTGATGATGATGATGCTGCTGCTGATGATGATGATGCTGATGCGGTTGCTGCTGATGATGATACGATGATGTGGACAACGCTGATCTTTACTCATTGTTATTGTCATCAATTGTATTATTACTTCGACGATGGTGATGATGATGCTGATGCTGCTGTTGCTGATGGTGCTGATGCTGATGCTGATGATGATGATGATGATGATGATGATGATGATGATGATGATGATGATGATGATGATGATGATGATGATGACGATGCTGATGAGGAGGATGCTGATGATGCTAATGATGTAAATGCTGATGCTGTCGATGCTGATGATGCTGCCGCTGATGATGACGCTGATGCTGATATGATGCTGCTTATGAGGATGAAGATGATGATGATGCTGACGATGATGAGGAGGAGGATGCTGATGATGCTGATGATGCTGCTGACGATGCTGATGCTGCTTAGGGTGTTGATGATGACGGTGACGGTGCTGCTGCTGCTGATGACGATGATGCTGCTGCTGATGTTGATGGTGTTGGTGGTGGTGGTGATGCTGGTTGTGGTGGTGATGCTGATTATGAGGAGGAGGGGAAGGAGGAGGAAGAGGAGTGGAAGAGGAGGAGGAGGAGGAGGAGGAGAAGGAGGGAGGGAGGGAGAGAGAGAGAGAGAGAGAGAGCGAGAAAGAGAGAGAGAGAGAGAGAGCGAGTAGGCGAGAGAGAGTGAGAGAGAGAGGGAGAGAGAGATAATGAGAGAGAGAGAGAGAGAGAGATAGAGAGGGAGAACACGGGAGATAGAGAGAGAGAGAGAGAGAGAGAGAGAGAGCGAGTGATGCTATTTGGGAGGCGTAGGAGTAGGAGTAGGCGTAGGAGGAAGAGGAGCAGGAGCAGGAGCAGGATCAGGAGAAAAAGGAAGAGGGCGAGGAAGATGAGGAGAGACGGAGGAGATGTCAACGGGGAGGATGATGTGGAGATGATGAGGACATGGGGGGAAGGATGAACAGGGGGATGTGGCGGACGAGGGGGATTACCAGCACATTGTTGATGCTGATCGTGTTGATTCCGCTGATGATATTAATCATGCTAATGGTATTACTCATGCTGCCCATGGTGATGATGGTGGTGGCGGTGGTGATGGTGATGACGATGATGATGGTGGTGGTGGTGATGGTGATGATGTTGATGATGATGCTGCTGGTGATGATGATGATGCTGATGCAGAAGGTGATGATTTTGAGGGGACGACGGGTAAGGAGGATACGGAGGAGGAACCGACGTGGGAGGATGATGTCGATGAATGTCCAAACATGTGAGCCTTCTCGCCCCCCAGGAGGAGGAGCCCTATGAAGAGCAGGGGGAAAAGGAGGAGGATGAAAAAGAGGAAGAGTAGGAGGACGAGGACGAGGAACGACGAGGGGAATCTGATGATGATGCTGATGCTGATGCTGATGCTGATGCTGCTGCTGCTGCTGCTGCTTATGATGATGATGATGATGATGATGATGATGATGATGAGGATGATGATGATGATGAAGATGATGATGATGATGATGATGATGATGATGATGATGATGATTATGATGATGGTGATGGTGATGGTGATGGTGATGGTGATGGTGATGGTGATGATGATGATGATGATAATGATGATGATGATGATGATGATGATGATGATGATGATGATGATGATGATGATGATGATGATGGTGAGGAGGAGGGGGAGGATGAGGAATAGGATAATCGGGAGGAGGCGGAGGAGAATGAGGAGGATGAGGATGACTAGGATGTGGAAGGCCGTTGCATGCGTTGCATGATCGTTCCCAGGATGAGCAGGAGCAATATAAAAAAAGAGGAGAAGGGAGAGGGGGAGATGGAAGATGAAACCTTGTAGTGCGTAGCCTTGAGAGATTCGCGACATGTGGCACGCTGTTCTCTGTCGTGCCGGGGTGTTTCTTCTCGTCTTCGCGTCGTTTTTCTCCGTTCATGTTATTTAATCGCTTCGCTCATTCCGCCGGCCCACATTGTATCGCTGGTGCTATATGTTTGTGTGTTCGTGGCGAGCGAGAAGAAGTTGGAGGAGGGGGAGGAGGAGGAGGATGAAGAGGGGAGGATGAGGACGAGGAGGCGGTCTCTCGATGGCTTCTTGGAGTATTTTTGGGGCCAACCCTGGTCGTGGACAAGACGCCTCTTTGGGAGGCTTCGTGGGTCTCTTGGGAGGCCTCTCGGGGGCCTGTTGGAGGTGTTTTTGGGGCCTCCTGGGGCCTCTTGGGGGCCTCTTGGGGCCTCCTGGGGGCCTCTTCGGGCAAAGATGTCGAAATGCCCGTTCGGGTCCCCCGTCTGTGCCCTCTCTTGGAGCCGTCTTGGGGGTGTATTGGGCCGTCTTGGAGGCCTCTTGGGCAGTCTTGGGGCCATCTTGGGCCGTTTGGGGGCCCTCTTGGAGACCTCTCGGGCCGTCTTGGGGCGGTCTTGGGGGCCTCTTTGGTCGTCTTGGAGCGTCGGGAAGCGGAAAAGGCGAGAATGCGAAAATCCTTCAAAAACCTTAGGGAAATCGATGAATTTTGCCTCTTGGGGACCTCTTGGCAGGGCTCTTGGAGGCTTCTTGGTGCGTCGGGGAGCCATCTTAGGCGTTTTGGAGCGATATTATGGCGTCTTGGAGCTCTGTTGGACCATATTGAGGGCCTCTTGGGGGTCTCTGAGCTCTTCTCGGGGCTCTTGGGAGGCCCTGAGGGCGGCGCCCAGGAGCAGAACCATCCCCGACAGGGAGTTGCCCAGGGACCTGGTCAGGGTACTTTTCGTCCGGGGACCCCCAGGGGCCGCCCCGCGCGCGCGAACTAGAAAATTGTTAAGCAGTTACCGGAGATCTTAGCACGCCTCTGGCCCGTTGGGCCGGCGAATTCTTTCCTCTCCTCTCGGAACCTCCTGCGGGCTTTCGGGGGGACTTCTGGGGGCTTCATGGGGGCGTCTTTGGGCCTTCGGAGTCTGGCTTGAGGGCCTCTTTGGGCCGCCCTGAGACCCTCCTGGCCACCTTGGCGGTCTTTTGGGCCGTTGTGGGACCTTCTTGGGCCACCTTGGGGCCGTCTCGCAGGCCTCTTGTGCCACCTTAGGGCCCTCTTGGGCCGTATTGAGGCCGTCTTGGAGGCCTCTGAAGCCGTCGTACGCTGACGGAGGCCCGAAAAGCCGAATACAAGCAAAGTAGTGGAACAATAGGGAGCAACAACTATTTTTGACTCACTAGAGCCTTCGGACACCAAAGAATGCTCTCAGTGCTTTCGGGCCCTCCATGACCTCCTCTTGGAACCATCTTGGGCCGTATTGGGGGCCTCCTGGCCCGTCTTGAGGCCAGCTTTGCACTCGGGCTCCGCGCCAGCGGTTTCGAAATCGTATAGGGCTCACTATGATCAGAGCGGGTACATAATCATCTGTTTCACGATGTCCAGTCTCACCTTTACAGATGTGTAAGATTTATCACCGATGAGGCTGTAAGGCTGTCCATTCCTCCTTTTTGAGAACTCGTCCTCAGTCCAGCGATTTTTTTTCGTAATCACACTTTCGTCGTCGGCCGTTAGTTGACGTCTCTCGAATGGCTTCACGTCTTCCGACCGACCTTCCGCACTGCGGAACTTCTTGTCGCGCAACAGCTTCCAACGCGCTTCATGATTCTAGTATGAAGAGGGTTGGCCAGCTTCGTGGGCTTTCGTCAAGCTCTGGAGGTGAGGGCCATGGCCACCCTTTGTGCTGCTGCCGTCTGGTCGGCTAGCCTCGCAGGAGTCAGCCCATGTAGGCGGCACTAGAACCTCCGCGTATCTGAATATCACCGTCGGCATGCTAACGCATGCGGTCGACAAGCTTGTTGATTTCCTCCTCCAATAACTCGACGGTGGATTATGATACACCACTCAGCTGCCAGGTGCCATCCGAATTCTTGATCTTCCCTTGATCCGTAGTCCCAGACATCGCCTGTTGCCGCCAGACCGTGGTCGCGCGGCCGCCGACCAAAAAAGTATCCCCACAACTTTTCTGCTTCTCGCCGCCAGACCGTTGTCGCGCGGCCGCCGACCAAAAAGTATCCCCACAACTTGGGATCGGCCGCTGTGCTCTTAGGCTCGCGCGTTGCTAATTTGATAGGCCCGTGGCCCGGACCTTTCAGCTCGGCGACTGCGATTCCGCGTCCGCCCGCGACCAAAAAAAACATCCCCAGCAGTCCAGCCCCCTCCGCTCGCCAGCCCGGCCGCCGAGGTGCCGCGTGAGGCTCCGCCCCGCCGCTTTAGGTTTAATTCGTCTCTGCGCGGCCCGCTCTGACTCGGCTCGCCGCTGGCGCGCTCGCCTGCGGTCGCTGACAAAAAAGTATCCCCATCAGTGCTTACTCGCCGCTGGCGCCCTCGCATGCGGTTGCGACAAAAGTATCCCCACCAGCGGTTTGGGAGTATCGCCTCTGGCTCTCCTTCTGAGTGGCTACCCGCTCGCTCGCTTCGCTTGCCTTTCTTCTCCTGCTGCCTAGTCGCGGCCCGACTCGTGTTCGGACGGCTTGCGACCCGCCTCGCGAGCTTGTTGACCAAAAAATATCCCCACCAATTCTGCAATCTGGGCGCCATCGAACCCACCGCCAGTTGGGCCCGGTGGCTGTCTTCGCCTGTTCCGTCTGAGCGGCGGTTGAGCCTGCCACGTTGCTTAGCTTGCATTTTCCCGCTGCTTGTTAGCTGCATGCGTTCGGTCCCGTTCTAAGCCTTTGTACTTAAGGTCTTTGCTACTCGGCAATCCCCTGGCGGCGCGCGGCTCTTCCGCTTGCGCTCGCGAGTAAAAAGTATGGAGGAGGAGGAGGAAGAGGAGGAGGAGGAGGAGGAGGAGGAGGAGGAGGAGGAGGAGGAGGAGAGGAGGAGGAGGAGGAGGAGGAGGAGCAGGGAGGAGGAGGAGGAGGAGGAGGAGGAGGAGGAGGAAAAGGAGGAACAGGAGGAGGAGGGGGAGGAGGAGGAGGAGGAGGAGGTCCTCTTCCTTCCTCCTCCTCCCACCCTCCTCCTCTTCCTCGTCCTCCTCCTTGTTGTGCGGCGGGTGCCGCGGATAAATAGCAATTTTCCATTATTGGTGGGGCCCCAGTCCGTCAATGAGGGCGTCGAAAAGATAATACATTTTCATTTATTGGTTGGGGCACGGAGCGCCACAGGCCACAGGACCGCGTTTTCACTAGAGCATTTTATTCGTAATCGGGCCCAACGTAATCTAGGGATCGTGGTCCTGAGATCGCGGGTCTTTGTTATCATGTACGAAGGATTGTTGGTTGGAGCGCGGATTCTTGTGTGTGTGTGTGTCATTTTCGCCGGGTCGCGGTTTTGGGCGTGCAAGCATCCCCTCCGTGATTCACAGGGGGTCGCGGCTCTTGGGAGCGCGGATCCGACGCGATTTGCGGGGGGCCGCGGCCCTGACAATGCGGACCCCTCGCAGTCAGCAGGGGGTCGTGGCCCTGGGATCGCTGATCCCCTGTGATTTGGCAGCGATCGTAATCCTGGGGGCGCGGATCCTTTCTGATTTGCGAGAGCTGGTGGCCCTCGGGGCGCGGACCCGTGAACGTTCACGAGCCATCTTGGCCGTGGGAGCGCGCATCCCAGGTCATCTGTGAGCTATCGTGGCTCTGGGAGCGCTGAGTCTGGGTGATGGGTAGGGGCTCGTGGCGTTAGAGTGCAGGCCCCTCGTAATTTCTACGAGGGCTCGGCGAGCGCGCGGGGTCTTTGCAATCGGCAGGGGTTCGTGGCGTTGGAGTGCAGGCCCTCGTAATCGTTGCGGGGGCTCTCTGGTCGGGCCAGCCGGCCCTCACGCGGTGCCGCGTATATAGCGAGGCGGTCGATCCCGACGCAGGTATTGGTGGGGGTCTAGGCAGTGAGTGGATGAGGATCTGGAGGACGAGGGGGAAGGGTGCTGGTTGCGGTGGCCGCGTGCATTAGTTCTTAGCCTGGCGTGGCAGGTCGGGTCTGGCGTTGGCCCTCACCTGGTTACTAGGAAGGCGCTCGCTGGCGCGCGGCTCCGCTTCGCGCGACTGGGCGAAGGAAGAGTGGGCCGAGGCCAAGCGAAAACGCAAATTCAAAGGATCGCCCTGGCTTCGAAACGAAAGGTAGATTCTGCTCGCTGGTGTGGGACCTCACTTCCGATGGCTTGGCGGGGGAAAGCATGCGCCGCGCCATTCTTTGATAGTACAGGTACTGGTAGCTTCAGGAGCGTGG